TGGGCGGGGCGGCGCCTCTCAGTGACCCGTGTCGGCTCTGCAGTGCCCCGGGGCTAATCTGCGGCTCGCGCCCTGCAGAGAGGGGGGGGTGTCCCGCCTGGCTGTGCCAGTAACAGGTTTGCTCACTCCTGGGTATTGCCAGGCTGGATAATCACCCCCTCCCCCTCAGAGGAAGGCGTGAGACACTAGGATAGGGAGAGAAATGTAGCCGTGTTAGTCTGGGGTAGCTGAAGCAAAATGCAGGACAATGTAGCACTTTAAAGACTAACAAGATGGTTTATTAGATGATGAGCTTTCGTGGGCCAGACCCACTTCCTCAGATCAAATAGTGGAAGAAAGTAGTCACAACCATATATACCAAAGGATACAATTTAAAAAAATGAACAAATATGAAAAGGACAAATCACATGGCAGAACAGATGAGCTTTCGTGGGCCAGACCCACTTCCTCAGATCAAATAGTGGAAGAAAGTAGTCACAACCATATATACCAAAGGATACAATTTAAAAAAATGAACAAATATGAAAAGGACAAATCACATTGCAGAACAGAAGGGGGATGCGGGGGGGTGGGAAGGGGGAGGAAGGAAGGTAAGTGTCTGTGAATTGCTGATATTAAAGGTAGGGAGAGTGGGATGTTTGTGAGTTAATGGTATTACAGGTGATAATTGGGGAAACTGTCTTGGTAATGGGTGAGAAAGTTCAAAGACTTGTTAAGTCCTTGTTGGCAAGTGTCGAATTTTAACATGAATGACAGTTCAGAGGATTCCCTTTCAAGGATAGGGAGGTGGGGGATAGGGAGCCCTCTCCCTCCCTGTGAAAGGCTCAGCCTCATTCCTAGCAATCGGTCCCGCTGTGTCTACACTGCCCTTTTAGCACCAAAACTTTAGTTGTTAAGAGGTATGACAAAACCACTGTTCCAGCATGCTGAAAAGTGTCAGTATAGACAGTGTTTTATCTTTGGGAGTCATTTCCAGTGATAAGTTACTACCTGGGGCTTGGGATACTTTTTTATCGCCAAGAGAGCTCTCCCTGGGGAATAAAATATAACGACTATACTATGGCAGCAGTGCAGTAACATGGGCAGTGTAGACAATAGCCCAAGTAAAATCCCTGAAGCATGAGGATTTATGACCCTTTTCAAAAAAATACTTTGCATAAATTACAGTAATTACTCGTTTAACACGTGCTCGCTTAACACGTTTTTGCAATAGCATGATTTTTGGGGGGAATGTATTTTGAATAACATTACTGTCCCCAAAATAACACAAAAATAATCAAGTGGCAGACTACTTCGTGCGGCGGTATAAATTGGTGAAAATAAAGTGGTGGTATGCATGAGCAGATGAATACACATGGTCACAGCGCTCCTCTGCTCACTTACGTGTTTATCTTTGTGTTTTAACAAACTGCGGGGACTTGTGTTGCTAGATATCTAATGTTGACGTTGATGACCCAGTACCAACAAAAAATTTACTCTGCTACCACCACCTGAAACGCAACCCCCAACTTTTCCATTATTTTTACTGGGAAAATTGACCCCGCATAGCACGTTTTTGCTTAGCAGGAACATTTTCAGAAATGCATCTATGGTGTTAAATGAAGAATTACTGTATAACTTTGTACATAGTTATCAACAGTCCTGTGATGTATCACTGCAGTACATATAATATATCTTTACTACTCAGATGTAGCTCCTGTGGTCAGAGAGTTGGAAGCAGTGTCACAGGGCATAGCAATTTTCAGATACCACTGTGATGGATAAGCGACGGGAATCCTGTGACACCTTATAGACTAACAGATTTATTGGAGCATAAGCTTTCGTGGGCAAAGACCCACTTCGTCAGATGCATGTAGTGGAAATTCCAGAGGCAGGTATAAATATACAGGCATAAGAAAAGAGTAACAATCAAGAGTAAGGCTAGAGATAACGAGGTCAATTCAGTCATGGAGTATGAGGCCCATGCAGCTGATATGGAAGTGTGAACACCAAGAGAGGAGAAACTCCTCTTGTAGTCAGGTAGCCATTCACAGTCTTTGTTTAATCCTAAACTGCTGTTGTCAAATTTGCAGATGAACTGTAGCTCAGCAGTTTCTTATTGAAGTCTGTTCTTGAAGTTTTTTTCTTGCAGGATGGCTACCTTTTAAGTCTGCTATTGCGTGTCCAGGGAGATTGAAGTGTTATCCTACAGGTTTTTGTATATTACCATTCCTGATATCTGATTTGTGTCCATTTATTCTTTTACGTAGGGACTGTCCAGTTTGGCTGATGTATATAGCAGAAGTATATTGCTGGCACACGATGGCGTATATTACATTAGTAGATGTGCAGGTGAATGAACCCGTGATGGTGTGGCTGATTTGGTTAGGTCCTGTGATAGCGTCACTGCTTCCTCCTCCCCACTTGCTACCTCTTTGTGATAGAGGCAGCAAAGGGAGAGCGACTAGTTAACTTGTCCTTCACATCCCTAGTGAGGATAGCTACCTATTGGAACAAATTGCCTAGGAAGGTTATGAAATCTCTGTCATTGGTGGTTTTTAAGAACAGGTTAGATAAAGGCCTGTCTATGATGGTCTGGAACAGTGATGGGCAACCAAATGGGACACTTGAGTTGCCCTCCTTTGTCTCAGAGGGCTGCAAGACAGTTGCAATCAAGATGGTCTCCCAGGATAGGTTAGTTTTGTTTGCTAACTGCAATAAAACTAGTTAAAAACTAACTGCATTTATGAATCTAGATTTTACATGATGATTGAACTAGATTGAACTATAGCAGCATTTTGATGCAGAGGGAGTGCATGGCTCTCATAGTCAATGTTGTGTGCAATCAGCATGCATCACACTTCACATGCCCTTGTTTTACGTGTGTGTCACTTCAGTAATACTGGTACGAGGACAGAAGCCTGCAGAATCTGTCACCCCTGCTGTGGGCCACACCTGGAACCCTGATGAGTCACAGGTTGCCTACCACTAGTTCTAGAATAATACTTAATCCAGCCTCAGTAGAGGGTATTGGACTAGATCAGTGGTTCTCAACTAGGGATGTTAAATTGCATTTAATCAGCTAATTGAGTAGTTGATAGAATTTCCATCAGCTACTTGATTAGTCAATAAGCAGAAGAAAACTGCAGAGCCACAGCAGGGTTAACCCTCCTGCGGCTCTGCCTTTTAAATATATTAAACGCCGCCAGTCAGTGTCGTACACTGTTGTAAATGCGAGTTGCGGATGTAAGTGGGGGGGGCGGGGTAGGAGCTATATTGCATGAAAAAAGGTTGTAAATGCAGGGGGTCGTAAGTCGGCTGGTCACCTGTAATTATATGTAAAAAATGATAAAGTGGGCAATTTTTCAGTAATAGTATTCTATAATACTTGTATTATTGTCTGATTTTGTAAGCAAGTCATTTTTAGTGAGGTGAAACTCAGGGTAAATAAGACAAATCCTCCTCCTGAAGGGAGTAGTCTGGAAACATCAAGAGCCACTGGACTAGATGACTTAACTAGGTCCTTTCAAGTCCTTTACTTCGAGCTCTTATCACAGGTTTATAGAAGGGGAGACTAGCGAATTTGCAGCTATGGGGTATGTCTACACTTACACCCTCTTTTGAGACAGGGATGCAAATGAAGACATTCGAAACTGCAAATGAAGCTGGGATTTAAATATCCCGCCCTTCATTTGCATATTGGCTTTATGGCGCTATTTCGAAATAACAGATGCTGTTAAGACACGGTTATTTCGAGAGAAAACCCTTCTCTCGAAATAACCCTTATTCCTCATACAATGAGGTTTACCAGTTATTTTGAGAGAAGTCTTAACAGAGTCTGTTATTTCGAAATAGCGCTATTTCGAAATAGCACCATAAAATGAATATGAAAATGGAGCATGGGATATTTAAATCCTGACTTCATTTGCAATTTTGAATGTCTTCATTTGCATCCCTCTCTCGAAAGAGGATGCAACTGTAGACATACCCTGTCTGCACTTTTTCTGTGGGTATCTGTATCTTTGAATGTAGATATCTGCAGCTCATTTTTGTGGATACAGGATATCCGCACAGGGCTCTAGAAACAATATGGAAACCATCTCACCTCTGTAATTATTACAAAGTGAGTCAGTGAAAGTGCCAGAAATGGAATCTGGGCCTCCTGGTTCTCATTTTTCATTTCATCCAATAGACAAGAAGTTCTCACAACTCCAGAAGTTCTCACAACTCCAGATTTAACTTCGTGGGTTACCAAGAAGTCTGCTGGAGATTGGGACAATGTACAACAAAATGTATATGTATTTATGTGCAATTGATGACACTTTCAATAACAATCCATATGTATTGTTTAAATTTATATTTTAATTATTTGTTAATATTAATTTTGTATACATAGAACCGTATATGTAACACAATTAATTGAAACATCTCTTAACTTCTAAGCACTTCTGCCTAGTTCTTTGAAACTCAATAGGACTGTTCACAAAGTACATATGTACATGTGAACTTCATTTGTTTTTGTGGTTCAAGTTAGGCTTTTTGGTTGAAACAATGGAATATATTCTGGTTTAGGGGCCACAAAGGATTCTGGATCATGGAGCCATGGGAGAAAAATGTAAGTGGCTTGAGGATTGTGGTTGGAAAAATATTTGAAACCCCTTTCATTTGACTAAAGTTGTCCTGTAAGGCAAAAGTATAGGAAAACATAAAAAATCATATGTAAGTAGAATGTTGTTGTTATGCTGTTAACCAGTGATCTAAATTAAACTGGATATTACTGGGACTTCAGTGAAGCTTTGACCATATATATGAGCTTGCAGGATCAAGATCTAAAAGATAAGAAAATGGGTGAAATGAGCAAAAGGTGTGGGAAGGAGAAAGGGATAACAATAATATGGTTAAATTAACTGTGGGCACAACTTGTAGATGTGATATTCCAGTTAGTTACTCTGATTACTGCTACCAACTTGCTACCAATATTGTTAATGTATTTGAAATGTGTTATCATCTGTTAATAAAGATAAGTATTCCTTTAATTATTTTTGTATTTAAAGACAATAACTTTTTTTTTTTTTTTTTTTTGCAGCCTAGTGATCCGTGGTGAAAAAGCTGAACAAGCTGTACTATGCAGTAAAGATAAAACTTATGATATGAAAATAGCAGATACTTCAAATATGTTGCTGTTTATTCCTGATTGCAAAACTCCAGAACAGTTGCTTGCAGATCAAGCACTATGTAATATCATTCACACCCAGGTATATTTTATTTTCTTATCCTCTATTCTTCACATTAGTGTTACAGCTGAGATGTTAGAAATGATCAGCATTGTATTAACATAAAACTTACCTATCATAGGTTCAGTTACAATTTGTTTACTAGATCCAAACATAACATCTATATTGGATGAGGCAGTAATTACCCTGGTGCTTAGTAACTTGAAAGAATATTTTCTTTCGTTCAAGTGAGCCATTTTACATTTAAGACACAAAGGGCAAATGAGACACTTTTACTTATGTAAAGTGCCTGTTTAAATGGCCTACCCTGAAAGGCAGTTTGTGCTGCACGATTTTAGTTCCACAGTCTTTAAAAAAAACTTCAAACATGATTCTTATCCTAACTGTTGCATCTGGAAAATTCAATTGGGTGAATTTCAGAAATACAATTTCTGTCCCTTTGAAGCAGATGTAAACAAATTTTCCTAAAAATGGTGAGGAAAATAAAATCATTTGCTCTTAATTTTGTGCAGTGGGTATAATGACATCATTATGGAGGGGTCACTCTTCTTGTCCTGTTCTAGAACAATCAGAACATAATTTATTCCACAAAGTCTGCAGTTCTGCTAATGGAAAAAAATCCATGCAAAATAAAGTAGGTTAACAAAAAAGTAATATTCTGCTTCCTTTACTCCTGCTATGTTCTGTAATGATTTTAGTGATTTGCTATGAAATAACATGCACCAAGATAACTTCCTGCCAAATGACTTTTTTTGGTTGGGATCTTGTAATGTATAGTTATATTCAGATTTCAAACTCTTTGTGGGAAGTACTTTTTGTTACAGGGTTGCATAGTGCTAAACGCAATGAGGCTGGGGCCTATGAAACGCTACCACAATACAAATAAGATATTAACTTTCTTCTGGATGCAGAATAATAGGCTCATGTGTCCGTTCAAAGAACACTCAGCAACAAGCACTCCCTTCCGAAGCGGCTAAGTACCTTCTGTTTGTCCAGGATGAGCAACTAGCTCTGGCTATGAATTTGCATGTTTTTCTACCACTAAATGATCAGGCATATCTTCTTTGAGAGATTTGAAGAGATATGAAAAGGAAGCACGGAAAAAGACCCAAATGTTGTAGTTATTGTGTCTATGTAATTGCTTTTGCATGTGAAAAGAGCTGGAGAACTTGGTCATAAACTAATATTTATTTAAATTATATGTTCAACAAGTCACTGAATAATCTAATATAGTAAAAAACTATAAAAAAGTCTAAGCTTTCTAAACAATTTGGATACAGTACTTTGAATCTGCTTTCTTGAGTAATAGGTGTTTTTTTTGACAATATAGTTTCAATAATTTAAAGAACAATTAAAAAGTACTTAAATCAAATTTGATGGAACATCTTTAAAATTCAGCCTTTTTACATAAAAAAGCTGTTATGTCAGCTGTTGAGCAGGAATTTGTATCCAGGGATATGGAGCATACCACCATATGATCTTGGAGCCTACTATGCCTTCCCCATTCTGAGTTCACACTTGTATGATTGCTGGCCTCTTCAACAGCAGAGCATTATGGCCTCCTATCATCTGAATGCATTAGGGCCTTAGGAGATTCCCAAGGTATTCTTCATCAGTGCACCTTGGGATTCCTCTGAAGGTCCTACAACGCAGGCATGTCAAACTCGAAGCCTACTGAGGGCCACAAGAATTAAAACTGATAGCTTTCAGGGCCACCAATGTACTTCTGTTGGAAAGTCATAATTATTTATTATTATTAGATTATGTTTTGGTATATTGTATAATATTTTTCAGGTCTTGTTTGAATATAATACAATAATTTGATGTGTAAAATTGTTGTTTGCTGATATATAATAATTTTTAAATATAAATTTAAGGTACTTTTTAATTATTTTTATCTGATACATAACTTGTTTTGTTGAAATAAAAACAAGTATAGACCAAAACAATGAGAGAGAGACTGGTATTTCAGAATAATTGCTTCAGCCTGGCAAACAATAGCCTTTGAATTTTCTTTAAAGAAACAGTGTAAACCAGGTACATGCGGATTCTTTTTTTGCCCTGGAATTTAAATATGACATCTGTGTTGGCTGCCTTATTCTGCATCCAGACCCTCTCCTGCTCTAAGTGTGTATTTGTTCCCAGAAGGATTACCAAAATTAATCGAGTGGCTTGCAGAGCTGGCCTTTATGCTATCCTTAGGATTTCTTAAACTTTGCACTTTCAAAGGTACATGTAATATTCTTACACAGATAATCCATGCAAGACTAATAAGTTAATTGCCCTTTGGCTGACTGATGTACAAGTGCATATTTATTAGGAATATTGTTATGCCCCTCTTATCCTGGACTGGCTGGTATTTCTTAAATGTAAAACTAGATAATTTCCTTTTCCTTTTTTATCTTTAAAGCAGATGTTATTTGAGCCAAATGGGTATCCTTCAGAAATTGGAAAGTCTATAGTTAAGTCCCAAGTTAAGTCTGTAGAGCAGAAAATGAAAGGATATGTAAAATATAAGATAGAGATCAGGTGTGCAAAGTGGGAATTGATGAGCAAACAGTCAAAACGTGACAAAAAAATTGATAAAAGGAAACTTTTTTTTACCCAATTAATCTGTGGAACTTGCTGCCATTAAATAGTAGTGAGGTCAAAAGTTTGTAAGATTTTTTAAAAGGATGGCTTATTGATAATGAAAACATCTAAAATACAGTAATTCCTCATTTAACACTATAGATATGTTTCAGAAAATGATCGTGTTAAGTGAAAACGTGTTATGCGGGGTCAATTTTCCCACTGAAAATAATGGAAAAGGTGGGGGTTGTGTTTCAAGCGGTGGTGTCTGTTGGGACCGTGACATAAGGTTGGGGGAGAAAGAGGCCTGGGTTACAGCAGGGAGGGGAAGAGTTTGGTTCTGGGGAAGGGAAGGGAGGGGGATTGGGTTGGGAGTATGCCCCTGTGACGGGTCTGCCAGGACCAGCACTGCGTCTGGAGATGGGGATGTCGCCGGGGAACAACCCATCAAGTGGCGAATCCTCCATCACTTTGCAGGGAGGCGGGGGAAGCCCCGCGCAGCTGGCGGTGACGGGCCGGCTGGGAAAACCTAGCCGCTGCCCTGCAAGTGGGTATGGAGGAGAGGGGGCAAGGTGTCTGGCAAGGGGGAGTCAGCGGGGAATAGCGTGGCGAGTGGCGAACCCTCCACCGCTTTGCAGCCACCAGCAACAGGCCTGCTGAGGAAATCCTGTTATTCCGGGGATGGTCGTGTAATTAAAAAAAAATCGTGCTATCGCGAAACCGTGTTAAGCGGGCACGTGTTAAATGAGGAATTACTGTACCATAGGTAGAATAAAAAACAGACTAAAACCCACTCATGTTTCAGGTCATAAGCCAGCCACAACCTGATGGGAATGAAGAAGAAACATTCCCTGTCCAGGGATAACTGTCCATTGTAGTTTCTTCTGGACATATGCGAGCACACTCACACCCCATCCTATGAAATCTTGTATTGGCCACTTTGTAGCTACAATACTGGACTAGACTAGAGGGTCCCATTGGCTGATTTGGCAATGCCTACATTCCAAGGAAATCATATGACTAATATTAACACAGTACAGTTAGGTATTTAAAATTCAGGACATATGAAAATTAAACTGGGAACTACAAATCAGCCTCTTGTGTGTGTGTATATATTACAGTACTCTTGATTCCATTCCATTTCCCCCATGCCCCCGTAACCTAATGCCTCTCCTCTCCCCCAGAGTCAGACACCCCTCAGACACCCCCAACCTAATGCCTCCCCCCTCCCGCAGAGCCAGGCACTCCCAGCCCCCCCAAACCTAATGCCTGGGTCCCAGAGCCATGTCACCGTCACACATTTCTTCCTCAGGCGCTGGGGCAGCATGAGCACAGCGGCCAGCTGTGAGCAGGCACTTGATGCCTGTGCAGAGTGGCCTGAGCAGCTGTGAGCATGTGCTGGGTGCTGTGCGCAGAGTGGCCCAGCTGTCCGTGAGCAGTTGCTGCAGCACAGTGCATAGAGCAGCCGGCCCGCTGTGAACTACAGGCAGTCCCCGGGTTACGTACAAGATAGGGACTGTAGGTTTGTTCTTAAGTTGAATCTGTATGTAAGTCGGAACTGGCATCCAGATTCAGCCGCTGCTGAAACTGACCAGTGGCTGACTACAGGAAGCCTGAGGCAGAGTTGCTCTGCCCCGGGCTTCCTGGAATC